CCTTTTTTATTATTTAATTAGCTGAATTTAATGGACAATGGTTTTACGGACAGGGTCTGGGTGAGAAAAAGCTGAGAAAATATTTTAGAATCATATGTGAAACAACAGGTATTGAAATCGGAACTCGTAAAATATCTAATCACTCTAGAAGGAAAACAGTAGTGCAATTGCTAAAGGAACTTGGCTACTCCAATTCTGTTGTAATGTCGATTACACAGCACAAATCCCAAAAGGGACTTGTAGCATATGAATGACTGAAATCTACGATGCAACAAGAAGGGCTCAACGGATTTTTTAACGCATTGACAAAAGTTACAAAAGGTAAAATTTTAAAACCATTTACAGTACATTAATTGATTGATTGATTAATTTATTTTTTTTTTAAAAAAAAAATATATATATAAAGCTCCCGATGAACATGAACATGACACCCCCAATGAACATGACACCTCCAATGAACAAGACACCCCCAAAGACCACCAAACAGTGACTCTAGGAACTGGCAATTTCATTCTTGCTAGTTCATACGTTCAACATACTGATTCACAAGTGTCACTGGCAAATACTTTCGGCGACCTTGAAGTATCCCCCCCAACTAATGTTCTTGCTGAACGTGACCAAAATGTTCTGGAAAAAGGAACAAAAAAAGTATGGGCTAGTGATCTTGAAAAAGATCAAAAACAAAAAAATAAAGAATTTATTGAAGGACTTCTTTCCGGTAATACATTTCATAATTGCACATTCAATTTCTAATTAATTAGTGTAGAGGACAGTATGTAAAAGTTTATTGAAATTATGAATTTAAATTGCTTTAATCTTATTATATGTTCACGAAAATTAAATAGTTCTGACCTAATTAATGCTAAAAAAAAAAAGTATTAACCTAATTAGTACCTTCGCCCCAGCCAAGACAATTTTAAATTGCTTCGGCCTAATTAGTACCTTCGCTCCAGCCAAGACAATTTTAAATTGCTTCGGCCTAATTAATACTTTCGCCCCAGCCAAAGCAATTTTAAATTGTCCCAGCTTAATTAGTACTTTCGCCCTAGTCAAGACAGTTTAAAATTGTATTGGCTCTAATATTGTAAAAATAATGTTATCACATGGCTCAATAACTGTATTGTAAATTTATGTATTGCTGTTATTTGCCCAAAAATTGATTATTCGGTGTTACGTCATAAAGCTGCAAAAAATAACAGTCAACAACTGCGCCATGATCATATGAGTTGGTCGGATAAAGCATTTTATTGATACACTATTATTAGTATATTTTTTTGAAATCCAATTTGATAAATCTACTTAAGTTTATTTCATCTGTACAAACAAATGAAATTAGGACATTATTCGTTTCAAAATCCGATCCAAAAATTGATGATTATAATTCTGGAAAATTAAAAGATGTAAATCCAGAAAGTTTATGGAAAGCAAAAAAAAGCGAGTTATTCAAAAATTTTTTAACAAAGAAGAGCTTGATTTTTAATTTAATTAACTAATATTTTTTAAAAAAATAAATAATTTTTAATAATAGTTGTCGATTCAATAGTTCACCCAGACACTAGTGAACCAATATTTTTACCATTTAGAATGTCATGCTTTGTACCGACTAATCTTGTTGTTGTCGCTGGTATGTTAATGTCAAATCCTAGTGTAAGTTTCGTCCAAATGTTGCTTTATTTCTTTAAATATAATTAGATATATAAATCTCATCGATGAAATTTTTTTAGATGAAAAGCATTATATTCTGGCAATGGGTTAATCAAAGTATTAACGTTGCTATAAATTATCCCTTAAACGTATATTTTAGCGTACAAATTTGTACGCTAAAATTGGTAAGACAAATTTGCCTTCTTCTCGAAATTTTTTTATATAAAAATATCATTTAAATTGATTACAATAGCTTCTAAGCAGTGAAGGAAATCTGAAAAAAAAATTTTGTTTTTTGAGAACATAAAATTTTGAATTTATGTTCTTATTAATAAAGTTTTAA